ATCCTTACACCGGGTATTAAGCAAAATTAAGGATTTGCCTTAAAAATTTACTTTAGGTAAAGATGTCAATGCAAACCCCGAAAAATTATATACCTATAAAAATGGCGAACCTTACGAAATTTCAAACCTAAGACCTCCTAGTGAGCTTATATCCTTCTCATGACTAAGTTGGAATTTAGTATTTATTATTTTCAATCCGATGACTAGCCCACTTCTAAATTAATTACACTTGATCAATAGTTACATCTGTTTCCATAATTTACACTTAAATTCTATGCAACTATAAAATAAAATAATTTCTAATCTATGAAGTAAGTAAACCAAGAAAACCGAAACAAAAGAAAGTGTATTCATGTTAAATATTAAAGCATGTAAAATAAAACAAGTAGAATGATTTTATGCAATAAATTTAAGTTGTACAAGTGATTGTCGATAACTTATTATACATGGCTAAATGTAGAATGCCCGCACACATACACACAGGCACAGAGAACTGAATAACAGAAAAAAAGCAGTCTTGGACATTATTGGAAAATACATTCTCTGTTGTTGTCATTTTTACAGATTCTTACTACTGATCCATTAGAAGAGATAGATAGATGGATAAGCTGAAGAGAATCAATCGAGTTTTAGGACTATATTGTAGATTTTTTGTTTGTTCATAGGTTAACGAATATATATATTCATTAGTTATGAAGAAAAGTGTATATATAGTATAACAGTATTTGCATAAATGTAATAGATAATGTCAGGATAGAATATATACATATATATATACTTAAACGTAAACATTAGTTGTGTGTGTGTGTGTGTCTGTGTGTAAACTTTTCATGTGGTAATTCGAGATTATCTGAAGATAGAATTGAATAGAAATGATTTTAGTTCTTAATGAATTGTATTGTGAATTGATCAATAGAAGATATTTTTTATCTCGTACATTTTGTCTTTAACTAGTTTTCACGAACTGTTACGTAATAAAATATATTTTTATATAATCGAATGTTATATTTTAATAGCTGAAGCATAATCTAAAAATATTTTAAATGAATGTCATATACAGGTTTGTTTTGATTGATTCACTCAATAGTTTGTCTCAGGAATGGTTACTGTTTCAGTTTGATTTGCAGTAGTTTTCAGATTATTTGATTAATAATGTTGACCAAATTTTTCATCACTCTTAGTTGGCCTACGTGTCTGCTGTGTGTGGTCTGCCTCTAGTGAAGAGATTGTATCATAAGAATCGATAGAACAGATAGAAGGTGACTAGAACTGAAATCTAAAACATCGTTTTTGTCTTATGTGAGACTCATCAGTTGAAACTGCCTGAATTTCTGATTATATGCTTACTTTGGAATTTGAGCCAGGTAACATTCGCGCATGATCGCTCACCCTTTACACAGTTGGGCCGGTAACTAACAGTAACAATATTCAAATTTAACCAATACACGTGAACAACAACTGAAGTCATAAGGACTATTTTTTCGTGGAAAGTTTAAGATATTGATTTTAATAAATCATTAATGTATTTATCTAGAAGTGAGCAATTCATTCACTCACGTGGAATGACATTCGCTAGCTTTATCCCTATGATCCGCCTAAAGTTATACTTACTTACTTACTTGCGCCTGTTACTCCGAATGGAGCATAGGCCGCCGACCATTTTTTAAAGTTAAACTTGCTGATTGAGGTATATAAAGTCGATAAAGATTTCGTTTGAGAATATCATTTATATGTTACTATTAAGTGTTGTGTAGATTGTTGAGTTTTGTCGAAATGATGAATTGACTGATGTATTAGACTACCACTAGAAGTCTGGAAACCATTTCGTCAGTTGATTGATGCTACACTCTGACACCATAGGATATTGGCTCAGTGGTTAAACCGATAAGAGTCCGGATGCGAGATACAAGATCCATCGTGTATGCGGTTTGGATGGGCAAAGCTGATGAGTCCTGTACTAGGACGAAATGGTCGTCCAGTGCTTGCAGATTTCTAAAGGGTAGTGTAACACATGAATCGGTTGATCATTTCGATAAAACTCAACAATCTTCAGAACACTTAATACTAACATATAAATGTTATTCTCAAACGAAATCGTTATCAACTATATATACCTTAAATTAAATACTAATACTATCTTAAATGAAATAGAATGAAAAAACAAAATGACTGAACATTCGAGTAGCTGTGCACACCTCCGAAACATTGATCTAATCTGCAGACTTCAATTTTAAGCGGATCATAGGAATAAAGTTAGTCAATGTCATTCCGTGTCGGTGGATAAATAAAGTGGATGTAGACATCAGTGTTACTACAGGCAGTCGAACGCTGGATAGTTTGATCTCTTACATGAAAGTCCCAAAACATTTCACCGTTGAATAAGTAGTAATTTTTTTAATTGTCTATCTAACTAAAATATTTAAAATTTAAAATTATATTTTCTGTAATTCTAATATGCTAAATTCATGCTTTCCGGTAGATATTATTCTAATTATTTTATTTTATAAATTTAACCACATCTATTTTCATAATAATAAATCATGTCAAAAAAACAAACAAGTTTCCTGTCGTAAAACCGGTTTTCTTTTCAAATTCTCCGCATAAACATAATTTAAAACATTAAAAATGTCAATGAATTGTTTGTTGTTTGTTAATAAGCGGTGAAATGATTAGTAATAACACATCAATTCTGTAATTATCATGGATGTGTCACAGTCACCAGAGAAACACTTTCAACTAAGGCAAAATACACACACACACAGTCCACACAGTACAAGTTAGATCAACGAAGTAAAAGAAAGAGTTTGAGAAAATATCTTTCACTGTTATCCTTTAAAAAATAATAATTATTATTATTCAAATGGTCGTGTATTGTTGTTGGTCAATCATTTTGGAGGTCATGGTGAAACATGGGTTATTATTATTATTATTATTATGTTTTGCTAAATAAATGTATTTTTTAGGTCATTTCTATAGTTTTCTTTTTGTCATGAGTTTTATTTCTTTTCTTTTTTGTTTTCATTGAAAAATTGTAGGTTTTTAAGTTTTGAATTATTTATCCAGTTTGTAAAAATGGATCAGTCAATTCGTCAGTCAGTTACGACGTAGAACTTTGTTCGTACGTACGTACGTACATACGTGCATCAGCTCAAGTTGCAATTAAAACATTGATCGACTCATGGTTTCGAATAAAACTTAACAATCTTCACAACAACCCCGTAATGCAAATTACCTGTGCTCACTAGTGACTAGCTTCGTGAGGAATCTTCTCCTAATTCTAGTTAGAGGACGTGATCAGTGAAGTTCAACCTGTTCAGGTGTAGACAGTAACTACCGAAGACTGTGTATGAGGTTGCGCAACTCCGTGAATTGATCAAGTTATACATTAACACCATTAGATACCGGCTCAGTGGTCTAACGGTTAGGGGAGGTTAGTTAAGGGACTCACTAGCAGTGCTCATTTATGACTCCTGCTACTCGCGGTGTTCGAACCGAGGACCTTCGGTTTTGTGCGCAAACACTTAACCTCTTGACCATTGAGGCGGTATACTAGAGTGTTGATGTCTAAATCTAAGCGATCTAAAGTATCAGGCAACCTCATTCATTGTCTTCGGTAGTCACGGTCTACACCAAACACGGCTGAACTCCACCGATCACGGCTTCTCACTAGAACTCAATAGGATTTCCTCGACGAAACTAGTCACTAATGAGAACATTGTAGGATTTTTCATCATAGAGCTGTAGAGGTCATTGAGTTCCATCAAAATTATGAATCGATCGTTTGCGCGCGAGATCAGATGTTCTAAATTTGGTTCTCCTGAGCTTGGTGAGCACTGCTGATCACTTCAATACTCGAAGGAGAAAGCTATGCAGTACATCCAGTTTCATAATGATAGTCTAACATTGATCGATTAATGAATCCAATGAAACTCTACATATTTCTATAATGAAAAATTTATGATTATTGCCTACTCACTTATAAACTACTTGGCTAGAAGATCATTAAATTCTATGACTAAGCCATTTACAGTTTTTTTTTTTCAATTTTTAAGAATAGAAAAATGTTTTAAAATTGTTTTTTTATTTAGTCAATGAATAGTTAATAATTGGATAAAATGAGTTAATAAATAAATGAGTAATTGTGAAAGATTTTTATCAACAAACGTTTGTTTTTTTTAATCAAAAAAAAATTATAACACAGAAGAAGAAATAATCCACGCCCATTAATTTCATTTGTTGTTGTTGTCGTTGTATAAATACTGATTTTAAAAGAGAAGAGCCCAGTAATCTTTAAAAAATTTCATCATGATTTACAGAATAATTTTACGATCGATGAAGAAACGTTGTAGATGATGGGTTTTTTTCTTAATTATTAGAAGTTTCATTCTGAACATTTCAGGATGAGTTACATTTGATGTATTCATAACAAACTGTTGTGCATAACTCTATGTGTTTAAAATACATCACATACACATATAAGTTTGATTTAGCACTCAAGCACAGAGTAATATTATTTCCCAGGATTAATTTAAACCAGTCCATATTGAAAATAAGTATTCTTCAAGATAAGACAAGTATAGTGTATCTCAATTAAACCAAAAAACTAGTGAATGTGCCTTTACACCGTCAACGATATGCCATATCACTGAATATCCTGTCTTAAGTGTTACAATTAAACAATGTCCAAACTCCCATTCAAAATCATTTAAGCACTTTGTTTTGAGGGTTGAGATTATTTCCGTATTTTGACTTAGTGGTCCAAAGGTTAGGCATTTGTGCGTAAAACCGAAGATCTTGTGTTCGATTCCTGTAGGTACCAGGAGTCATGGATGAGCACTGTTTATGAGTAGTCCAATATTAAGAAGAAACGGCTGTCCAGTGATTTTAAGGTTTCTAATGGTGGTCTAACATTGATTGGTTCATGCTTTCAATATAGTTAAAAACAATAAATCAAAAATTTTCATATCAAACAATATATATATACAATTTTTAAAACTTACCGTTGTACTATCTAACATTGTTGTATTTAATGATTGCAAATGTGTACAATGATTCACAATGAATTTTATCAAATAATTCTAATGAAAATTATAGATTTATTGATTTGTAATAGGATTCTAGAAAATTTAAAAAACAGGAACACGTATATGAAATTATGTCAAAAACGCGACTAGACATTTACAAACAAAAAGAACCCACACAACAGAAAAAAAGTATTATTTCTTAGCTTCTTGTATAATTTTTACAGGAATATTTGCAATACTACTACTACTACTGAGAAGACTGAGGCAGGCGCGGAAGATTGTATTATGCAAATTTACACTCTGAGTCAATTAAAAACGAAAACATTACATTGAATACTCTATTTGCACACCATCTTTGAGTCGTGACTTCCAACACTCCATCCTTCTTCCATTCCTGTTGTTGCTTCCTTTCCTTCCTGTTGGTACTCCATTTACTTGTTGCTTTTGCTCCATTTGCTTTCTGTTTTCCTCTTGTGACCGTGAGACTTCTTCTTTCACGTCCCTTCTTATACTACTTATATCGTTCGTATAAGTAGCACACATCACACTACTACTACTACTACATATGAACAAAAATTAACTGTTCAAATCAAGTGATAGAACCTTGACAAAGTTTTTACCAAAACTGATCATGTAAATAATTTTAACGTTAACCTTTCTAAAGGAGTTCCTACAATTATTTTACAGTTCAAAGCATAGCATCCATGTGTATTGACTTAATAGTTTTAGACATGTTTAATGAATGATTTCTCGGTAGCTTTCATATCTTGCATTATTTGGTAAGGCTGAGTGAGAATGAGCGGATGCCAAATTTCAATTAAGGTTTTGAAGATTGTTCATTCGCGCGCCAGATCAGAGGTTCTGAATTCGATCCTCGTGAGCGAGGTTCATGGATGAACGCAGCAGATGAGTCCGGTGATAGGTTGAAACGGCAGTCAAGCGCTTGCAGGTTTTCTACTGGTGGTCTAACGATGATCGGTTCATGATTTTAAAAACTCTTATGTTAATATATGTTTGATGAATCTACAATAAACTCCATTAACAAATGATTATTAATTTTTCTGATAAGACACAATCGGAATAATGATTGAAAACTACCGAACATCTATCATATAAAAACACTTTGACGTGAATAATCTTTACTTTATGAATATAAACGAGAGAATAATTTGTGTAGTTTTATTTGTTTTTATTAGCAACATGAATTCACCCTGGAGTACTTAAATTTTCGAACCAATCAGATAACAGTGAAGAGGAATTGTAGCACTAAAAAACCACATACTTTGATGTTTGCTTTAGCAATGAAACACAGAGGTGGTCATATGTATTTTATATGACCATAGTTTCGTCTTATTTAAGATTTATCATATGAATATACTTGAAATGAAGTGGGTTTTTTTTAAATGCTTAGCACGTTATACACTTTACATTCGTGATATCAAACAGGTAATAATTATATTGACATATTGAACAATTAAAAACAGAAATCTCATGATCAAATATTAGGGAATGAAAAAACAAAAACCATATTGAATTGCGGGGTTGTTGTGAAGATTGTTAAGTTTTATTTGTAACCATGAATCGATCAATGTTAGACCACCATTAGAAACCTGGAAGCACTGGACGGCCGTTTCGTCCTGGTATGGGACTCATCAGCAGTGCGCATCCACGAATTATTTACCTTTTTGCTATAAGTTAATTTGGGCTATTCCATAGAATATACCATCTTATACCTAGATATTCTATTTCATTTCTCATGAATCATCATGGTTTGTGAATAATTCCAGATAAATCTGGTTTTTGGTAATTCACATAACTTCTAGTGTAAAAGGAGTAATAGTTTTGTTGTAAAATTTAACAAATTCATTGTTTTAAACCAGCAAGTGTTTTTTTGAGAGTTATTTAATTGTTTTTATATGTTATACGAGGTTGAGGTAGGTGATGAATGACTTCATTGTTAAGAATTAAGGAATGTAGGGATAAGGTCTTTTGAATATGGTTGAACTTGTCTTAAGATGACAATCGTTAGAAAACTGTATACACTGAATGATCATTTTGCCTTAGTATGAGATTCCTACACAGTGTGTATCCACGACTTAACATGTAGGAATCGTAGCTGGAGCCAATAAATTTTCGAGGCACACACTTATACTCTAGACTACTTTGTCATCATCCATCGATGATAACATTTAACTCTAATCAATACACATCATTACATGACTCTTTTTCACTGGTTTTGATCAGACGAAACAATCAATCAATACTTACAGATTAATATTGGTATTCTAACTTAGATCGGTTCAGGATGTTTATAAAATATAGATTTACTTATTCGACTCTGAACTATACTTTTGGTCATTGAAGACTAATGATACTAGTTAGAGTTGACAAACACAAAGAAAAGTTGACATTAAAATTCAAACCTACACACAAAATGAATCAAAGAAGAATTCTTAAACTAGAAAAATAATAGTCTTTTTGTCAGGTTTCACTTTGTTAACCAATGAAATCAAAACTTCAGTTAATCTGATGGTTAGTTGGAATCATCAATTAAACATTGTTAGACCACCATTAGAAACATGAAAGCACTGGAAGACGGCCGTTCCATCCTAGTATGTGACTCATCAGCAGTGCGCATCCACGACTCCTGCTATCCTCGGGATTCGAACCTAGAACCTTCGGTCTAGTGAAATGGCCGTCTACTGCATCCATGTTTCTAATGGTGGTCTAACAATGATTTACTCATGATTCCAATGTAGAATAACGTTTGACGTAACTCTACAATGCAAAAATAATGATGTATGATAGATTATTCTTATTATTATTGTTGTTATTATTATAAAACAGTCGGCTATCTAAGCTCAGTTAGGTATTTATTTACCATAAACCATAATCATGAAATCCTGTATACTTATACACAAAAAACATAAACATGCATTTAATTCCAGTAAGCCGATAGTTAAAAATGACAGTGACAATAAGCATCAAATTACAAAATTCCTAAATGAGTTTTTATTCACAAGATAAAGAAAGCACAATTGTCATTATTGTAATATTATTTAATATCGTCATTAATATTCACGTGTTTTAACTTTTCATGTTCAATGAAATTTTGGTCAATAAGCATAGATAGATGTATATATAAATATCTGTTATATATTCACGAATGACGAAGCTGTAGCGGAAAGTTTCGACTCAACTCTGTTCATGCATAGTACGAAAACCATGTTCTCACTCACACACACACACACACACCTAAAAATATCAACGTGATGCAGCGAACTAAGATTAGAAATAAAAGTTATTGATGAGAAAGAAAGAGAGAGAGAAAGACAAACAAAAAAATTACCAGCATGTTGTTAGTTTTGTTGTTATACACCTCTAGTGTATCACACTTTTGTAATATTGTTTTTGTACTATGATATCTATCGATGAAGAAACATTTATTGGAAGAATATTGTGAATTCCATAAATATGAATTGGTAAATAAATCGAAGCATAGTAAAAGTGATAGTTTTTTTAAAAAATGTAACACAGAACACTTATGTATTGTCTAATTTAATATTTATCATCTTCAGTGTTCGTTCCATATTTATCAAGGTAGCTTGTACAAAATTTACCTTTACATTAAGTGAACCGCTGTGTTGTAGAGTGACCAGTGTACCTGTATATTAAATACTTCTTAGTTATGGTTAAATTCAATTGTTCAAGCTGCACTATGGCTACTAGTCCAAGTGACTCGATTTCAATCAGTACTAAGAACGACTTCAATTATTTGACGCTGGTCACTATTCAGTGATCTTTGAATTTTAAATACATTTCAGTTCAAATAGCAGTCAGTCACATCTCAAGTAGAACACTGATAAAGTTTTTGATTGAAAAGCTGGGTGACATGAGACCAGATCCACTATAGGGCATCAATTCGCTCAAGATCACGTCTATATTTTGTTGATCAGTGACAAGCAACATGAAACTTAGGTCAAATAAGGTTCTTTGTCCGATTACCTGTAACCGTCAATTTACATGACGTATATAGTCAGTCAGTCAGTTACAACGTAGAAATTCGTACGTACGTAAGCAAGTTCAGGTTTCTATACCACATCAGCACAAAGACGCTGTTGTCTCTTCAAATCTCAAAGTGGTAACGGTAGTAGAAGTATTAGCCGGTAGTCGAGAAGATTAGTGTTCAAAGAAATTATTCAAATATAATTCAGCGAAGTAAATTTTGAAAGAGAAGGATACAGGTGGTGAGGAATTCAGAAGGCTAGAATTTTAAAGAACAAAAAGAGTGTATGCATATGTGTCATAGCAAACGATTTTGAGCCATGTCGTTCAAGGTCAGTAACCACCGGTTACTATCGTCTCGGTAGTCGACACCTACCAACATGAATCAGTCCACTTGTCAGTGACTCCATGGATTTGTGCCATGTTTTGGTTTGGCCAACCCTAGCTTTCTTCCAACCTATATCAATAAGGACTGGTTAAAAAGTAATCCTTAATATTTAACCTTTGCAAGTAATTATCACTAAAAATATAACACTACTTAGTTTCGACAATCTAATTAATAATACTATATTTTGAGCTGTCATTTTTTCCTAACTGCATGATACATATTATCCTAGTATCATTTAAAAGACAGTCTTGATGGAATATCATGATTTTTATTAAAATATCTGAAAACTGTCGAAATTCTATCGAAATGATCTTAGAAACACTAGGATTCTAATGATTCTTTCAGGTAAACCAAGTAATCATGAAAGTACCATTAAATAAAAAATTAAAGAGATTTCAGTAAAAGAAAAATTTTTTCAAGAGAATAATTTAACTCATGCTATACACCTATGATCCCTGTCCAAACGAATCTCACAGCCCTTACCCTACATGGCTTGCAAAAAAAATGGATTGCCAAACTATTACTTACTCACTATAGAATAGTCTGATCAATTCTGGACGAAAAAAAATTCATCGAATAGAGTTCGAATCAGAAACTTATACGCTGTTGAGGCGTTGGCAGTTTATCAATCTGGACAGTACTCTGGATACAAAAAACAATAAGTTCAACTTACAATCCTTATTGGACCCTAATTCTCTTC